GCTCTCAAACACCGAAGCAAAAGTCTCAATTGACAATTATATGCTTTCTTTCTTTTTTTGGTGTATTCGGTCATTGATTTTGATCTTGATTTGGGCATACGGATAAGTGGGTGAAGGCATTTTTTGAGAAAAGTTTTAGTTTTTATGTTTTCAGGTATTGATCCAAATCTGTAGTACGCAAAAGTGTTTGATGGTTTGATTGTGGTCCTTGAAATGTTTCTATGCAATGAAATTTTTTTTTTTCTAATTGGAGGGATTGTTTTTGTATTGTTTGTCAGCATAGGGGCACGGTAAAAGATTGATAGTAGGGCAGTACCACTATGTATTCTTTGATTGTAAATGCCAATAAAAAGTATTTTCTGTTGTTTTTTAGTGCAGGTTCAACCTTTTTTGGTGGATGTAATCCATGGAGAAAAATGACTTATTGTGTCGGGATTCAACTTTTGTTCTAATTTTGTTTTATTGAGTATATAAATTGTGTAACCATGTTATTTTTTCTAGAGTATTTTTAAAGGAAATTCCATTGAATATTTTGAAAAAGTTGTGGCGTCAGATAAATTGAAAAACTTACTTATATAATTGGTTGTACCACTTGTTTGGGGAATGGTTCCATTGTAATTTTTGCATATCTATTCCACCATTTTATTGGAGCATTTTATATTCTGACCATAACAAAGTTGGAACATGAGATTTTTGCTTTATATGGTTTATCTACTCATTGCACACGTGTTTGATTTTTTGCTTTATATGACTTTAGGCACGTATTGTTGCTAATATAGATCGACGATGATGACAACACTACATGACATCCGACCTTTACTTTCTTGCAAGCCACGCCTCTTTTCTTTTTTGCGGTTTTACAATTTGTATAAACCTTCAATGACAACCAGCAAATGGGGTTACACTTAAATCATACATCAATCCAAATCACTGTTGACACAATGTCATACTTTTTAATATAAGATTAAAAAAAGCTAAAGAAAGGCTGAACTACCCCCAAGTGCTACATGCCATAAACCCTTAAGCACAATACAAATGAAAAAAAAATGACAATGAGCTCTTTGTTTCAAAGAAGGTTGATCAACTTCTGAAGTAATTTATAAGAAGGAAAAAAAACTACCCGAAAAAGTACAAAACCTTCATAGTAGACCAATGATAAAAAAGAAATTCTAACTAGTTCCTCACGAGATCAAATATCTTGAGAGCACACAAGTCCAAACCTCCCAAAACCATTTTACATCATTCAAACAATCCAAATCACTGTTGACCCTAAGAGTTGGAGCTTTTTCCCAAACCCAACCTCTCCAAAAAATTTATTTCCAAATCTAGTATGTTTTAAATTTATTTTTCAAACTCCGTTTTTTTTTTAAAACGTCATTTAAAATGATGTTTTCATGGGTTAAAACATCATTTCAAATGACGTTTTTAAATTGAAATTTTTTTATTGAAAATGTCATTTAAAATGATATTTTTTTAAATGAATTTTCAAACGACATCTAACAGACATTAAGAAAAAATGGTAGAGAGAAAACATCATTTGTAATGACAACACTACATGACATCCAACCTTTACTTTCTTGCAAGCCATGCCCCTTTTCTTTTTTGTGGTTTTAAAATTTGTATAAACCTTCAAATAGGGGTGCAATTTGGGTTAGACAACCTGATTTCAACCCGAGCTCAATCCGAATAAATTAGGGCTTGGACAAAAGTTTTTATTACTTGGGTTGGGCCTGGGTCAAAAAACTCTAACCCGAATTTAATTTGAGTTGGGCTGGGATGAAGGCCTCAAATTCACGGGTTCAACCCGAACCCGACAAATTAAAAAAAAATTATATATATAAAACATTAGTACGAGTTTTTCTTTTTGTTCTATCATTCTCTGTATCTCTCGTTCATTTTCATTTTTGTTTTAGCATTAGTATTGTTAAAAATTTGATTGAAGTTATTGGTTGTTAATTTATGTGAATATTATGTAATATATGTATTAAGTTTAGACAACAAGTCTATTTTGAGTTTTACCCGAACTCAACCCGAATTGAACTTGTAAACTAAATCCAAAATCAGCCCGAAATCATTAACTCGAATTCAACCCTAACCCGTCCGAATTAAACTCGAGCAGTGCTCGGGTTGAGTTTCTCAACTCGAGATAGGGTTAGGGTTAGAATTAGAGTTGAAGATTATAAACCTAGGATTTTATTAGGATTAACTGTCAACCCGTCCGAATTACACTCCTACATTCAATGACAATCAGACAATCAGCAAAAACAATCAGCAAAAAGGGTTACACTTAAATCATACATCAATCCAAATCACTGTTGACCCTGAGAGATTGACACAATGTCATACTTTTCAATGTAAGATTAAAAAAAGCTAAAGAAAGGCTGAACTACCCCCAAGTGCTACATGCCACAAACCCTTAAGCATAAGACAAATGAAAAAGATGACAATGAGCTCTTTGTTTCAAAGAGGCTTGATCAACTTCTTAAGTAATTATAAGAAGGAAAAAAAACTACCCGAAAAAGTACAAAACCTTCATAGTAGACCAATGATATAAAAAAAATTCTAACTAGTTCCTCGCGAGATCAAATATCTTGAGAGCACACAAGTCCCAACCTCCCAAAACCATTCTACATCATTCAAACAATCTATATTCAAAGAAAAAGGCAGTCATGCATGTCACATAGACAATGCGCTCTAATCCTTTACCCCCACTCCAATTGCTTCTCTTCCCACTTTCCCTGAATAATTTACCCTACCCGACAAGTTCACTTCTTTAATTTCCGTTCTAGATTTTCTCAAGCCTTTATCCCTGTTCATAGACTCCTTTGCATTGGGAAACAACCTTCTCCAGATTCCATGGAACAACTCCATGGGACCCGAAGCTTGGTACTGGCCTCTATCAGACCAACCACGACCAACTAAGATTATCCTTCCACCCTGGGAACAACAAAAACGTGGAAACACCATTGAAGCATTCAAACCACTAAAGTTTCATGAGAAAATGCGCCCATCCCTTTTACCATCACTCCAATTTAGACAAACTCTAGTATTGAAATTAGACAAACCACCTAACTTATTTTTAAACCATTTGCATTTAGGCGTAGCTTTCTCCTTTACAAAATGAGAGAAGTTGTTTCATTATCGATCCCTTTAGCTGATAAATAGAATTCGAATTAATCTAAAGAAAGAGGCATGCAGTGCATATAAAAAAAAAAAATTTACCTTTTAAGTGGTTAGTATTTTGGTTTCAGGCTATCTCGTTGTTAACAAATACACGCTCAAGTCAACTAAGCTACTCTCAATTGTGGTTTAAGACAGCAAAATTTGACTTCATTCTCAACAATTCCCTTGTGCATCTTTCGCTTGAAAGGTTGTTGAAGAATGTCCTCCATTAGCAGTTCCATCCTAGGCCACAAAAGTGATATAGAACATGAGTCTCACAACAACTTTTGCGTTTACTTTCACCACTTTTGAAAACTCGTACTTTGTACCCTGTATTTGAAAATAATTAAATCTGACATTTAATAAAAGAAATGCATGTCTATAGAGTAATTCAACTGAAAAAACAAACAGGTGAATACATATTTAGTGTTGTATGAGTTTAACGCTAAGTTTGCACACCAGTTAACATTCTCAAGCAACTTGGAGTCCATATCAAGGTTTTGTCGACATTGGCTGGTGCTGCTTGAGGTGGTAAGAGCTATTATCAGGAAAAAGTGATAGCTAGAGACAGAGCAACATATCGCGGGAGCCACTTGCCCCCCTGACTTTCGAATAATCTCCACATATATCCACATGTTAACATATTATTAAACTTGTAAAATGATACATTGCCCATCTTTTAACTTCAAAAAATTGCATAATGGATAGATCTTTTCAATGAGTCAGGCCCACTGCCCCGTATCCCAGGTATATAAATATTTTATCTCAATAATAATATTTAATACATTGCCCAAGTTCCGTGAAGGAATTGGCCCTTGCTGTTTTCTGGAGAGAGAACCTCCAACTTCTCTCTAACCTTTTCTTCATGTCTTATGATCAAAACTCCCATCTTAATCTTCCAAAACCTCCTGATACCCTTAAACCATCCAATTTTCCCGAGTCTTTCGCATCCTTACTTCAAGAGAATCCCCAAAACTCTATCAGAATTTTAGAAAGCCAACATGCAGGAATTTCAGACATCAAAAAATTGAAGGAAGTCTTTGATAAGGGAGACCCAAGCATATAATGGTTCAAGGAGGAGATATCAGAATTAATTAATCCATACCTTCAAATGTTAATAGGTAAATGCGCATATGGTAGACCTTCATTAGTGATGATACGTGAGTTTATTGGCACTAAATGAGGAATCAAGGGAGATTTGTTGTGGGTGCTTTGGATCCTAGACATATTTTGATAAGCTTCGGCCTTTTTGATGATTATGTGAGGATTTGGTTGAAGGATGCAATCTATTGAGGGAAATTTTTTTCGCTTTTTAGGTTTGTTCCTGATTTCACACCAGGGATTTGAACCATCTGCGGTTCCTATATGGAGTAGTCTTCCATCCTTGCCTTTAATCTTCTTCACTAAAGACTGTCTTACGGCAATTTTAAGTCCCATAAAGAGAGTGCTAGCTTTTGACAAGCCAACCTTGAATCGATCAAGACCAAGAGTAGCAAGGGTGTGTGTAGAGGTTGATTCACTTGAAGAGAATCCACAGAAAATATGGCTTGACAATGAAATTTTTTTTTTTTTTTGGGGGGGTTGGGTTATAGGAGTAGATGGCAGAAGTTTGTCTATGAAAAAGAGAGTAAATATTGTAATAACTGTTTGAAGCATGCCATCTGGACTCAGAGTGTCAAAGGAAAAAAGATTTTGAAGGCAAGGATTTTAATTCTCAGAATAAAACGAAGGAGGCTGTTCAAGCCAAAGCCAAAGGGAAGCTGTACCCAGAAAACCAAAGGAGTTGAAGATCAAAGAAGGGGGGGCAAAAGGAGTAAAAGAAGCAACTGACAAAAATAATGCAGTACAGGATGTCTCTACCAGTGGAGAGAAAACTTCTGAGGGTAAGTCTGGAAAAAGCAAATTGATCTCCTGTCTTATTGGAAGAGAAAGTGCATGAGATGATGATGTGTTTAATGCTCAAATAGATACAGGAATTAATCCATCTATTAATCAGAGCCCTACTCCAGCTGTCATCTTGAGAGAGAAGGCAACTGATTTGAACAATGTTCTGATAAAGGAGATAGGTGGAAAGCCTACAGAAGATGAGGGTATCTCCTTGTTGGGGGGCAGTAAGAATAAGCAAGATGTGACAAATGATAAGGGGAAGGAAATATATCTTCAAGAACAAGCACAAAGCGCAGCGCTGGTGGGGTTAACAAGCAAAGAACTGAGGCAATCATCAAATGGGGGTGAAAGTAATATGTGTCTTCTGATTAGGCAAGCTTCTCCACCAACTGGAGATTCCACTTTTTTTATAGATCATCAATTGGTGGTAAGTAAAGTGACAATACGGAAGAGGTGAGAAATGATGAAAGAGGCATTGTTAATAATAAAAAACCTCCAGATCATGGTTTTCAGTCAGATGGTGAAATAGATGAAACAGGTGGATCACTGGAGAAAGAAGAGGAAGAGCTTCAGCCTGATTTGGAGATGCTCAACTCTTCTGTGTGCCAGACTACACTGGTAGTTCCTCAAGGGGCAAAGACTAGATCAAGATCTAGTTGTAAGTTTTCTCCCATTGATTTGAATGATTAATTTCATTTCATGGAACATCTGAGGGGCACGCAACAATGCCTCTAGTATATGTCTTAATAAGTTAATTAGGGCTAATGATGTCTCTTTGGTGTCAATACTGGAGCCTAAGTTAAATCCCTCAGAGTTGGGGAATGAGGTATTGTATAGCAAATCCTATGGCAGAAAGGCATATTTGGTTGTTGTGGCATCATCATCTGGCAGTGACTATTTTGGATTCTTATGAGCAAGCCCTCACAGTTGAAGTCTCTCTTGTAGGATCTGTATCGCTTAGAATATCGCTAGTCTATGCTAATATTGATTATGTATGGAGGAGGCCATTGTGGCAACATCTTTCATAGTTGCAAGATTCAGAAGTGCTGTGGCTGGTAGTGGGTGATTTCAACGCCATTGTATCTTCTTTTGAACGTTTGAGAGGGGTTGCTCTAAGCTTTATAGCAATGGAGGAATTTGCTTCATTTATTTCACAACGCAGTCTTGATGGATTGTGGTTTTTCTGATACTAGCTTTACATGGTGCAATAATCATCAAGGTTTGTCTAGAATGTGGCAAAGATTAGAGAGGGTGATGATGAATTCTGCTTGGGACTCTTGGTTTTCTAGAACTGAAGTGCTTCATGTAGCTAGAGGAAGGTCACATCATAGTCCTTGGATTATTAAAGTGGATGAAAGGTTCAGTTCTCCTAGAATTTCCTACTTTGAGTTTCAAGACATGTAAGTTGAGCACACAGATATTTTACAGACAGAGAAGGCGGGCATGGTGGGGGTTGTATTCAGGAAATCCAATTGAGAATGTTTTTCAAAAGCTAAAAAATGTTAAGTCTAAATTGAAAACATGGAACAAAGTTGTATTTGGAAATATTTTCTGTAAAAAAACAAGAGCTGAAAAATAGGTTGGCAAAGGAAGAGATAGATGTGGAAGTGGACAACTCAGAAGTGAAACTTCTAGCTCTAGAAAAAACCAAGAAAGAGCTTGATGATTTACTAAGATTGGAGGAAATATATTGGAAGTAGAAAGCAAATATCAAATAGGCCATGGAAGGGGAAAGAAAATTTTTATCATGCCTTAGCTAAAGGCAAAGCAGTGAGGAATCGATCAAGAGAAACAAAGATGAGCATGGAGATTGGCAAGAAGATGAGGACAGTGTTGCAAAATGTGCAGAAAGTTATTATTCTAATCTTTATACATTAGAGGCCCATGCATTCGACAAGAACCTTTTTTCAGCAATTCCCAAGACAGTTTCTGATGAAGATAACATTAACCTCACCTTATCTGTTACCATGGAGGAGTTAAAGGAGGTTGTTTTCTCTGTCAGTAGAGAGTGCTCTAGGTCCAGATGGCTTCTCAGGGAAATTTTTTCAGGTGGCTTGGGAAATAATCAAGATGGATCGCTTACTAGCAGCGAATTTTTTCCTAGAGGGAGGTTGGTTCCACGCTCTACTAATGCTACTCTGGTTTCACTCATTCCTAAGAATGACAATCTCCAAACTTTCTCAGATTTTCGGCCAATTAGTTTGTGCAACTTCCTTTACAAAATTTTCTATAAGCTGCTAGAGAAAGGTTGTCTGCTATGCTTCCAAATCTTGTCTTTAGAGAACAACATGGATTTTGATGGGACACTCCTGAAACTCTACCAAAGACTGACATGTGTCCTCGACACCGAGGTCACCATGCCTGGAATTTTGACACATGTCCTCGGTTCAGAGGACATCAAGAACTAGGAGGGTGCTGCCATGTGTCCTCGGTGCCAAGGTAGTGAGGTGCTTGTGGTGTTGCCACGTGTCCCCGACACCGAGGACATCAGGGACTTAAGGTGCCGCCGCATGTCCTCAGCACTAAAGTCATCAGGAGTTCGAAGTCACCTCTATTTCCCATATTGCGACACGTGTCATTTGTGCGATTTGCTCTCCCAGGGTCTACTTTTTGACGTCACCTTGGCTCTAGAACCTTGAGACATGGGAGGATAATTGACAACTGTCATCACTTGAGATCACAACTGCCCATTCATCATTAACTTGCTTTCCCAAAGAAAAAAATGAGGGCAAGGACAAGACCAATAGCCAAAGGGAGTTGAACACGTGGCATAAGGTGCAGAATTGAGTGTCAATGAACAAGAATGTCCCTGTTGGCACGCATCCATTCCAGAGGAGCATTTAATAATCCTTCAGAAGGATAAGACGTCCATGATGCTCAGGAAGCTTAGAAGAAAGAGCATTAAATGCTCGGGAGCCCAAGCATTTAATACCAGAGCCTCCCCACGCAAAATAGGCGGTGCTCAGCCCAATGACTGAACACTAGCCATTGCCTCCCAAATGGACCAATGGGGAGCCTCTTCCTGACATGACCCATCTGCCAATAATAATGACCTCCATGAAGGTATAAATAGTTACAAAAAAATTGAAGATGGAGATATGCAATTTGACCCCAGAACACGCAAAACAGTGTTTTTCCTATTCCCTCTCTCACAAACTGATTTGACTTTCGGAGAGGATACGCCGAAAAAGGCACCCTTCTAACCCCTCTTTTGAGTGCCAGGAACCACCTTCGGCATGCCGAAATCAATCGGGCAACTGAAAAAATAATTCATCACCACTCCTTAGGCCTTTTTTGGCCTCCTTTTGCCACGTGACCATCAACTTTCCAGATAAATACAAGTTCACCAAGGGAGAGGACTGCCTTTTTGTTTATTGTGCGAAAATTAGCGTGCACAGTTTGGAGTCGTCTGTGGGAAATGACCAAACTTTTCAAAAATAGTCATCATGATGAATACTCGTCAAAAGGGAAAGGGTCCTCAGCAAAGGAATGTTGATTTACCAGCTCCCTCCACATCGAGAACGGAGGATCACGTCGAAAGTGTCAACAGGGAACTTTCCGTTCATTCCAGAGAGAAAACCCGCTAAACTATTCTGAGTATCGGAGCCAAAAAGCCTACCCCCTTAGCTCGTCAACTTGACGATTTGATTGAGGAATGGTTGGTAGATCGACTACGACAATTAGAGTAGGCCAATGTAAACGTTCTTAATCGACTCAATGAATTTGCATTTTTCGACGAGGGATCTCGAGACTTGAGGCAGTCAAGGGAGCCCTCCGTCAGGGAGGTGGAAGCCGATGACGTGGGGAATCGCTTGAGTGGCAGAGCAGGGAACTCCGAAGCGCCCAAGGGCCAAGGGACAGCTTCCAGAGGTCCTAGCCAAGAAAACTAGGCCATTGACATGGAATGACCTTCGTTAGAGATTGTTCGGGCGAGGGGGCATGGATGGGTCAACCCTCTCCGTGCAAAATGCAGCAACTGGAGGACACGCTGACTGGGACAGAGATGCTGGAGAGGTGCTCCCCAAGCAAGGGGGAGACCTCAAGGTACAATTAGATTTCGTGAGGAGGGATAAGACCATCCCAGAGGACAACAAGGATAACGAAGGTATTCTGTCACCCATCACTAAGAGTATTGTAGAGATTGAGGTGCCAAAGAAGTTTGCGGTACCGAGGTTCAAAGTTTATGATGGACACTCTGACCCAGAGGCTCACCTCAGACAATGCAAGCAGACGATGTTCTTATACCACTCAGAATATCAACTGTTATGTCGAGTGTTCTCAATGAGCCTGGAGGACACTGCCATGAAATGGTTTGAAATCTTGCCACCCAACAGCATAGGGTCTTGGAAGGAGCTGACCAGACAATTTTTAACTCAGTTCATCGCAGGGAGCAAGTGCTCTAAGGATGTTGGGTCATTGTTGACCCTCAGATGGAAGGAAGGTAAGACACTCCACCAATACGCCACTCACTACTAAAAGGAAGCAAATGAGATGGAGGGATATTCCAAAGTTATGGCGGTTGCTTCCTTTAGACTTGGCCTCTCGCGGGACATCGACCTCTATTGATCCTTAACCAATAAGGCGCCGAAGGACATAGGAGAGTTGATGGCCCGAATCAATAAGTATTCTCGGATAAAGGATGAAATGGTAGGGGGCAGAGCAAAGTCTCAGACCCCAAAGAAGAAGGAAAAGGAGAAAGAAGGGGCCCCTCCCCAGAAGGGATTGGTGTAAAATTCGGGTAAATTTAAACTTTTCTGAAAAAGGGTAAAATAGTAATTTGTCACTATTATGCAGATTTAAAAATACATATTTTATAGAGCTCGGATGGAACAACAGACTTCACCGTTGAATTCACATCGCGAAATCGAGCTGTCATGTTAATTTTCGTTGAATTTCGAGATGGTCAAATTTTTACACGTTTTACGAGACAATTGGGCTATGAATGAACTGTTAAACATCCCTAAAAACATAAATTATAAAATTTCCTTATAATTGAATAAAATTTCAAATAAAATTTATTTGAATTAAAATTGGGATTTAATTAAGTTGTTTCGGGTTAAAAACGGACCCGATAAACGAGTGGGACGATGTGGACCGCGAAATTAAAAGTATAAATAGGGTTTAAATCTGAAAATTCAGATATTTTGCTCATTTTCTGGCTGGTTCCAACGTTGGAGAAGATAGAAAAGCGAGAGAAGAAAGAAAAATTGATTTTCAAGGCTTTCTCCTCCGATCCGCCAAGTTCCACCTGTCGGAAGCCGTTGATCCAAGAATTAAAGTTGGTCTACGCGACGAGGGCTATGTGTACGTACCAAGAACGAAGATTTTCACCGAAAATTCAAAAACGGAGCTTTGAAAAAATCAAAGATTTTGGAGTTAGGAGGTGCCTAGAGGGTTTTACCTTTCTTTTACGCTTCAAGAGGTAGGGGATTCTCCTACTTGGGTTGATTTCTAACCTAGAATGCTTTGAATGGACGATTGGAAGTATGTAATTATATATATATGTGTGTTAACATATGTATATATATATATATATAGGTTATGAAAATGGGAAATAAGTCTACGAAGGACTTAAAGTAAACTCTAGCTTAAATATAATTTGTGGGAGTTATGTGAACCATTTCTTGGTACTTGATGATATTTGGTGTATGTGGGCAATATTATGTGATGACATGATATCCTTGCCTTGAAGGTGTTTGATTAAATGCCTTAGATAAGTGAATGTTGTTGTTTTGATACAAATAACATGTTGGAATTGTTGTGATATGTGGACACATGCTTATTGGTGTATTGAGCATAATGATGAATTATGGAACTTATGTGCATATGACATGAAATTCCATGGAATATGATTAATATTACTCATGTGACATTCATTAAATTTTGGGCATGAGGTTGCATCACATTCGTGGGCTTAGACATGAGTGTGGGTGTGTATGCATGAAGTAATCAATACCACTCTTGGTAATTGATATGTGGACTCGGAGATGTTAGATCGAAGATCCCTTGGAGTCGGATGTTGCATGAGAAAAACTTGTGTCGGGTATAGCAAGTAGGGCTAGACACTCCCTCGGGTGAAAAATCGGGTACTTGGTTCATACACTTCCCTAAGGTGAAATTCTGGAAAAGTGTAATAGCATACGGAGCCAGCGGTGTGATTCCGGAATCCAATACCCAACAAAGACACATGGTTTTGTTGTATAAAATGTTCATTGAATGGGAAACATCCAACAATGAGAGGGTTTTCAAAGCATATGAATTATATTTCAAAATGATTATTGGATGTTTTTCATCAATGATAAAGGTTTTACACTTGCATTGCATAGTGTGGTGAGGGCCGATGAAGGCTCGGGATGAGGTGAGTGAGTGAATCTCATTTTATTCATGGCATGGCATGGATGATTCCAACATGAATTGCATATTCTTACATTGGAATGGATATTGGTTGTGTGTTGTTGCATGAGGCCATTGCATATGCATCTAGGTGGGAAATAGCCTTTGTAGGAAACTTTCTACTGAGCGTGGCTCACCTTATACGGAAAACATTTCAAGTGTGGGATTCGTGCCGGTAGAGGACTCGCATTTGAGGCCTCAAGATTGAAGAAAAGCCGAATTGTGGCTTTACGAAACAAGTTTTGTATAAAAACTTAGGTTATATTCCATTTTGAATTGTAATTATATGGAATGGGTTGTAATAACTTTGTATGGATCATGTTTATGTATTAAACATCATTATACATGTTTTATATGATGTTGAAATAAGTTAGGATGAATTGAAAATGAAAAATTGATGAAACATGAAATTTTGGGCATTCAGTAGAGCATACCGGTATAGCGTACTGGTACGCTTTTCTGCCCCAGATCAGTTTTCGTAAAATCTTCATAACTTTTGATCCAACTATTGGATTAAGTTAAAAGTTTGACACCATACAGAAGACATCTAGATCTACAACTTTCCTGTTTTGAACTTTTCTAGATTCTGAGTGGATCATGATCAAAATGGAGGAAAACTGAGGTACTTGTACCAAATGGTGTTAGTGCTGGTGCATTTGTTACCAAACACCAATACCTCCTTGATTTCTTCACTTCTAAGCCTCCAAATCCTCATGAAATGTACTCATATCTTCACCACACATCTAACATAGTTAGAAGGTTCTCAAATACATGTAAATGTTGGAATGAGTTAAGATGCATTGGAAACCGAAAAAGGGTAAAAAAGACAAAACTGGACAAAGTGTACCGGTATGGCGTACCGGTATGGTACTGTCCAAAGAGTTTAGCGTACCGGTACACTCCCTCAAACTTAGAAAATTTCTTATTTCTTGCTATGCCTTTGGACTTTGGTTTCCTTAGTTTCCTTGACACAAATGGTCCTTAAAAGAGATATATTTGGGTATATTGAATCTTGATAAAAGTAAATGAATAACGAAATACGGGTAACACGTGTGAGTTAAAATCTCAGGTATTGGAATATTATTGGTGAAATGCTGGCTCAAGTGACACTCACAGGCATTCTGCGGGTTGATGGGTTGTCAACGGGACCCCCGGTTTTAGGGGTGTCACAATTGGTGTCTCCACCAGGGAGTTCTTTCAAAGGGGTTTATACTGTATTCAAGGAGCTCATTTACAAACTACTACA